CAGAGCGGTTCACGTTGGTTAATACTATGGAAGCTTGATCTCTGGGAAGTTAAACCCAGAACTAAATGAAGAGGTGTAGCTGAACCGATGGAGAACCTACACTTTCAAGTGTCATATTGGTTTACATTTTGGTTAGATAATTTTTTTTCTTTTAGCCTTTGGTGGCAAAATTTTTAAAAAGTTCTGCTTAGTGACACATTGTCAATATCATAATCAGACTTCTCTGTATAAATAGCCTTTATAAGATTAAACAGTTTTGAAAAGAAAGTTAGGGACAATATTAGCTTTAAGGCACACAAGCTATCACTACCAACGGATGGAATTAGGATTGCAAGTCTGAAAGGTCATGCACAATATTTTTGGGTGCCATATTTGGTAAATTGTGTTTTTGAAGGATGACATACATAAATGATTATTACTTGGAATTTACAAACAATATTTATAAAATATCATGCCTGTTATATAATCCATCTTGAAACTTATGTTTCATATCACATCCTTTGCACTGTATTAAAACAGTATTTGATAAATGTCCAGTAGTTATTTTTTGTCACTACTGAGTAAATGGCAGCCAAGATTGTTTATGTACTCATTATGATCTATGAGGGACACATTAAGAAGAGGAAATTTAAAATTTTCCATTTAAAGCCAAGTGACAAGAATGTGTTTTTTATTTATCAGTGTCTGTTTATGTTTTTTTTCTCTCTTTTGTTAATGCACTCAATAAATAAGGGAACAATTTCTCAGGTTATAAGTATATGATATTGTATTGGAAACTTTGCAAGTGTAAAGTTGTTGGATAAATTTTTGGCAGTATTCTCATAAGAAAGACATTTTTCTACTACCAAAACAATCAAATAGCATTATTCTATTTGAAATAAGGATAAAATCCACCATTTAGGTTGTATGTGTTAACCTTTTTTCTCTGTTTCAGTAACATTGCAAATACATTCCAGATCAAAGACCTCATTCTTTTACAATACTTTTTATTGCTGTTTTAGAAATGCCAAAAACAATTCTTTCAAAAACATTTTTGGCCTGAGAATATATTAACAGTAAACTATATTATTGTTTGTTTGCAATATGAAATGTGGACTCTTTTAAAACGAGCACCATCAGCCTTCAGTGATTTTGTGGGGAATTATAAAGCCCTAAACATTAAACAAATAAACAAACAGAAACCCTGTACAATTTGGTAGTAGATAACTGTACTCCTATAAAACAAATATGGAGCTCGACTGCTAGCTCGGCTCTGCGGTTGAGCATCAACAAAGCCCCTGGACAAGCTCTGGAGAACATCTGAACAGTCACCTTCTCTGGTGATAGAACATGCGGAGTCCTTGTCCAAAATATTTCTACATCTTAAATAGATACTGCAATCTTCATTTGGGGTTTATGATCTTATTGCTATATTTATTTAAAATGTTGTTGAAACCTTGGTTCCCTGGACGATGCAGTGGAGTTGTCACGGCTGCATAAACAGTAAAGACAGGGCCATCTACTAACAGAGCCTCTAAAGGCGGAAATAATGATTTGCAAAACATGTTCAACCAGCGCTTACAAAAGTGGGTGATACTGCCCACTGGTGGGCTTCGCGGGAATGATCCAGGGGACCTGCACAAGCAGATCCCTACATTTTATCTTGGATTCTGGACTATAGTACCAAAGTTAAGTTTTTAATAGCTATGGGGGTCACTGACTAATTTTTGTTTTGAAAAGAGGGCAGTAGGCCAAATAAATTTGGTACCCTATGGGTTAGACAAACTGAGTCAAGTAATATAGATAACCATATGAGCTTGAGGATAGTTTTCAATGGTCTGCACTATTTCCAATAACAAAATGGCAGGAATGTTGAGATTTGAAGGATTTACGGGAAGACGACATTGACACGCACCTTTATCAGCTCTTAGGTGTTTGTGGAGCCATGAAACACATAGATCTGTGACACAGATCTTTTAAATTTTTAAAATTCAGTTTATAGGAGTAATTGAGTTTAGGTTAAAAACAAAAGTATAATCAGGCTTAGGTGAAAATTAGAAAGATGCCATCTTTTTATCATTTATTAGTTTATTTTGTCTCTAGAAACCAAAAATATGGAACGTTTCACGAATTTGCGTGTCATCCTTTGCAGGGGCCATGCTAATCTCGGTATCCTCCCAATTTTGTGTATGTGCCGCCGAAGTGACTTCTAATGTGTGAAAAGATTGAATATATGTCATTGCAGTTGTAAAAAATCCAAAATTTTAAATGATATATGCTTCCAAAAATGTTTGAGGGAAATTTCAGAATGTGATGTAGTGAAATGGTGGTGAGTTTCCCATGAAGCTCGTAAAACGGAAGTCTCAGATCACCTCCTTTCCATGTATGTTCCAAGGCCCTCAATTAGGCCTAAAAACCTGCTATTCATAACTTTGATTTTTTTTTCTTATCATGGCTCCTTCAGATCATAGAAGCTTTAGGCGCTTCAGAATGTAGATCCATCCCTGAAACAGGAGGAAAAATCAGATAATCTGTTGTTTTTAAACAGGTGCTTACCTATTGTTTATCAAAAGTGTGAACTTGGGCAAGACACTTATGTCCACTAGTCTCAGTTTCTTCATTTGTAAAAGGAGATAA